TACATGTTATTTCTATTAATATCATCCTTTAAGTGACAAAACGTAACTGGTGTGATGTAAGACAACATGTTAATATATGGTATTAAAAAAATGGCATCAAGAAAATGTAATAGTTTAATAAATTAGAACATTAATTTAGAATGAAAAAAAAATTAGATGGTTTTTTTAAAAAAAAATAAAAGGATAAAATTAAAACCTCATGTTATTATGTAGTACCCAAAATTCTCCTCGTATTGTAAACAAATGTATCTTGAATAGTGGCTTTATACCTTAAAAACTAGTATAGTGATATGTGTTAAAAAGCAAGTAAAAACTCTTTTCATTTAAAATTGGTAAAAATTACGAGTAAAAATGGTAGAAGTACAAGTTTTTACATTTTTACTTAAACCAAAAAAACTAAATCGGGACACGTTTTAACCTATGACATGGTTTTTTTTTTGTTTTTTAATAAAATAAAGGCTTTAATGTTTCTAAAGTGAATGTAGATAAGTTATCTACATTCACTCTCAAAACGACGTTGTTTTGAGTTGAAAAATTAAAAAAATATAATGAAAAAGACTATTATAATCTTAAAATAAATTATAATTACAAAAATACCTTGATTTCCGCCTTAAAATGATGTCGTTTTAGGCTCAATGTAAATAAGTTATCTACATTGATTGACTGTAGAAAAAGCGAACCCTAAAATAAAATATAAAAAAAAAACTTTATTTCCATTTCTTCAAATCATATGCACATTATCTTTTTATGGAAAAAAAATTCTCGAGCAAGGCCGCTATATTTTCATTTAAGAGTTGTAAAACTTTATTCTTTTGATGTCATGGAACTTGGTTATAAAAGTTGTTAGAATCTTTTTATGTTTTTGAATTTATGTCTTATATAGATATGTGACTTATATATTTTAAATATGAAGTTGTTTATTGAATTTTGAATAGTGACTTATGTGATTTTTTTACATGCTTATATATATATATATATATATATATATATATATATATATATATATATATATATGAGAAAAGTATTTCTCCAGTCACTAGATATAAAGTTATTTTCAGTGAGCTCAAAACGACGTCGTTTTGAGATTATAAGATTAAAAAATTATAAAGATAAAGACTAATATAATCTTGCAATATATTACATAGGTTACAAAAAAAAAACCTTACAATAAAAATGAATTGATAAATCTTATAACTTTTGAAATATAAATACATTCATGTTACTTAAAATAAAAGCATAGAGTAAGAATATTCTAACTACCAAAAATTCTTATTACTAACTTACTACTATAAGATATGTTAAAAAGTATCTATCACATCACCATTGGATCAAAGAGAGAATGTTAAAAAGTTTTTGAAGAGAGAGAAAATGTTAATCTAATGGTGATTAGATAGGTAGTAAGTTGGTAGTGAAAAATTTTGGTAGTGAGAATATCCCTCTTCTAAAAATATAAAAGAAAAAAGGTTTTGGTAGGAAACATATTTTGGAATTAAAAACGAAATATTAAATAAAAATAAAGCTTATCTGTGAACACCATATTAAAACATGCTGCTTGTCTTTATATAAAAATTTTGTGCTCTTTTAAAATAAAAGAAAGAAAAAAATAGAAAAAGAAAAGAAAAAAATGTTCGACCTAAATATTAAGCCCACAAATACAGCCCAGTCCATAGCCATAATCCATAATCACAGAGTCTGTGATTTCACAGTGATATTGTGTAATCAATCAGATCACGTGAACAATGGCAGAAAAAGAAAGGAACCTGCATGCACACACTCAACCTGCTCGAAGCTGTGAATTGTGATGCAGAGATCCCATTTTTGGGTGATTGACAAAAACTACACAAAAGTGTATATTGCTTGGAAAGAGGTGGAAGGAAATGCACAGAAACGGAAAGAGGTAAAAAAAAAAATGAAAGGACCGGAAGCAGGGAAGTTTCTACGGATACTGATCAGAATGTCATTTCACCAACTTTTTTACTTAAATGCCATGCAAACAAGTTCGCTATCCGGTGTAGCGAACTCGGTTTGCTGACATGTCACATTTTTAGTGGATAACAATTATCAAATTTAAAAAAAAAAAATAAAAAAAAAATGAAGTTCGCCTCGGCGAACTTGGTTAAAATCAAATTGGTGTCCACTAATAACGTGACACGTCAGCAAACCGAATTCGTTACACACCGAATTCGTTACACCGGGAAGCGAACTTGTCCCGTGGCAGATTGAGAAATAACACTGTTCGTGTGGCATTTAGGTAAAAAAGTTGGTGAATAGTGACATTTTAGTAGCTGTTCCAGTTTTCACAAGAAAGGAAATTTCAGAAAATTGAAAAAGACGTGTCCAATAAAGATGGCTGCAGCTCGACACCTCTCTTGAAGAAGACAAAAACCTTACCTTACCTGTACACACAGAGCAAAAAAATGAAACTTGATTTGGTGTTAGCCTAAATAAGCCATGACAAGAAAATAGGAAAAAAGAGATAAAGGGTTCAACACAAATTTTATAAGCATCAGATGAAAACATAAAAACATAAGGCTCCAAGAAGAAACGAGAGAACCATTTTGTATCAGGGAAACAGCCACCACAGCACCTCCATCTTCGCCAAAGCTTGTGTCATAGGGAAAGGTAAGCCTCCACGCTTTCCTTTTCAGCACATTACTTTCATGCTTTACGAGATTACAGGGATGCTTTGATATACCCTTAAACTTCCTTCCATTTCATTACCTCATCAAGGCTAGTGAAAATACCATGAGGTAATTTTTCATTTGATCTGTGTCTTGTGTGCTAATTTTTTTCCTTAAATGTTTGTTTATGCAGATAATGCTGGTGTTATTGTAAATCCCAAGGGGGATGGGGGAGATGAAAGGCATCATCTTTTGATAATTCAATGGATGTGATGTGAAAGAAGTTATTAGCCTCCGTAACCCAAGTTACAAGACAAATACCATGAGCTGCTTGATTTGAGATGGATGATTAAGGAGGACATTGCTTGAACGGCAAAGAAGCTAATGATTTCAAGCAAAGTCCTCCTTATTCATCCATTTGAAATCAGTAGTCGCATGGTGTTTGTCTCGTACCTTTGGTTACAAATGCTAATAGCTTTTTTCAGATCCATTATTGTATCTGTCTGTGTACGAAGAACCCATAATTAGGTGCCCCTGCCCCTCCCTTCACCTTCAGTACTAATTTATCCACATGAATGTTGTTTCTCTACTTTCAACTACCATTTTAAAAACGGGAAAAAATGTATGTCATTTTAAAAGATATAAAAATCGACGTTTGTTGAACTACAGCATCGGATGGACTTTGTAACCTTTGTTGAATGCGAACGTACGGTTCGGTTATGTTTGGAATTTTATGTTGTGATATATTATAAGTGTATGAGAGACGAATTGGTATTTTTGGTGTTTCCTGTTAAAAACAGAAAAAAGGGTTCATGAACAGTTGGATAAACACTGCCTAAATGGTTCGAATTTTCTGTAATCAATAATTAGACCATTTATTCTGCCGATTATAAATCTTTGCTTTTCAAAAGATGTTTGATGATTTCATCATTGATATCATCATGGATATATGGCTTTTTGCAATCGGGTACAATAGTAAATAGCAGAGCCGCAGTGGAATTATCTTCCGACTTGAGAACTAGATATGATATGAGAGATTATTTGAATTCCAACTACAGGAACAATTTTTGGCGCTAACAAGTTGAGCAAATGGATAAAATATAAGCCTCAGGGTATCTTTTGTGTAATAAAACTTGATTATATAAGATGTGATATTAAAAAATCTGTTTGTATAACGTTTTATTAAATTTTTATATTATTCATCGTTTTATATTTGATATTGATAATGTACTGTGTAATATTAAATAGGATAAAAATAAATATTTTAAACAAAAATACACTTTAATAAATAATTTATATAATACTTTCAAATATACATATGATATTAATTTTTATAAAAAAACTACCAATTAATTTGCCCAAAAAATATATTAATTTTTGTAAAAATAAAAGTTTCAAGTATTTTTTTTAGAAAAAGATTCATTAGTACAATATATATATATATATATATATATATATATATATGGGTTATGTTTATCTCATTTTATATGAGATAAACAACTTTCCTACACACACAAAAGAGGCTATGTACTTGTGTCCCACCACTTTTTTTTCTCTCTCCTCTTACCTGTGGGTACCACTTATACTTTTATTTCTATAACATGAAGTAATTTTTTTCCTTATCCCTATATAAATATATATATATATATTAAATTAAAAAATTGATAGACATAATATCAAATATAACACCTGTTGACAACAATTTCATAAATAGTACCATAAAAAATTTGATAGCAAGTACACTATTAAAAATAGTACCAGCAAAATTAAAAATAACATCAATTCCGACTTTTATTTTTATTCATTTATAGTTACTTCAACTTTTTACATTTTCTAACCTTCTAATTTTTAAGAAAATAGTAATCAAAATGTGTTAATTCTTAAAATAAATTTCATTATAAAATATTCGATGCTATTTTTTTTTTACATATTTATAAATTTTATTTTCTTTTAATATTAATTTTACAAAATAGTATTTAAATAAGTTCTCCTAGAACAATCTAATAAGTAAAATTTTGAGATATATAACGGAAAAATATTATTTTGTATGAAAAGAAAATAAAAAAGCAAGTGATTACTGATAGTTCATTACCATTTTGGACACCAAGTTCATTGTCAAACATCAATCGCCTCTCTATGTGCCACATGCTGCGCTTATAGGTGTAGGTAAGAAATAAAAATATCAATTCAGAGTAAAAGCCAACCATGTTGACGATTATAAGAAATGAGATTCCTTTTTAGCATTTTTTTAAACCATGGGATGAATCGAATCAAATCAAAAGATATTGAGCATTAGTTATAACAGAATTGTGTTCAAAAATTTCATATACTTCCATCAAATGAAAAGAACTGCATCAGTGTAAACAAACAAGTGAGTGTTTAATCAAGAAATGAGGTTTTCAGGTCAAGGGATAAGGAACATACAAAATCACTTCAACATAACTATAATAGGATACAAATAACAAGAACCAGATTCAATAAAATAACAATCAAAACAAGTAATGACTGTATCAATTCAAACCCTCCATTTACACACATCCTTTATTAACAGGCGAATTCCACCAGCTCTTTGGCAATGCAATTCCCACACAGACATTGAACACCAACCTTTTGATAGTAAAACAAAGCTTCAAATATGTTATCAGGGATTTTCAGCAAGCCCACCTTCTAATGCTACATATGAAGATTCATGATCAACAAATTCAACATCTTGTGCTTCTAAATTTTCACAACTGGAAGTGTCCAAGTAAACATTTGCATTTTCTGCAAAACATTCAACAAAATGAATATGAACAAAAATAGAAGAGTATATAATACTACTGCAAACAAAGCAATCTAGAGGAGTGAAATGAAGTGAAACCAGATTATGATGGATCACACACCAACCTTCCCTCACATTGACAGAGGGACAATACATATCTTTCATCATCAGTACACTACTAACTAGTATAATCTTTAATAAAAGCAATATTGATCTAGCGAAATATTGGATATATAGGTCAATGAATTATCAACATGTCAATTACCTATTCACATACACTCTTACTCAGCAATAATTCAGAATAAAAAACTGGCATTTTAAAACTGCATAAAACAAACACATCTAACACTAAAAACAAAGAATCAGCACAAAAGAAGACACACGAGTACATGACCATTTCCACATAAACAAACACCGATAACAAACATTACAAAAGATCTTAATTTTGGCCTATACATTTTTGAAAAATATAACCAAATGCAACTAGTTATGGCAAGACATTTTCAAATTTTAGATGAAGTTGACAAGTAAAGATCACAATCTCTTTCAGTCCCTCTTAAGAATCCAGATATATCATGAGGCCAGCAGCTTTTTACTAGCTAGGAAACTTAATGGAATTATAGGAACACCTACTACCTTACTTTTTCATATTCTTTGTGCCTTTTCTCTTCCATACAAATAAGAACTTGACCAACTTTTGCAATGAGAACATTGAATTTTGAACATACCACTTTGACTTTCTTCCAGATGTGTATCTTCACAAGAAACACGCTTGGTCCATTTCCTACCAGGCAAGGGCCGCCTCTTTATCTTTTTTGAACTTCTATTTGGCTCCACCTCTACGTCTGCAGATTTGGGAAAACTTAGTGGTTTCTTGAGCCTGCGAAAAGGAAAAGTGGGTGCATCAAGCTTCGGGACAGCTTCAGACCCAAGCAAAATGGTGGTTGGGCGAGCTCTTGCTGCCTCAGACATTGATCTGGCAGCTCTTTCAACACTGGAAGAAGCAAGATCATTGGTATTTTCATCCTCTGCTGCATTATGACTACTTGATGTTTCAGGTTGTTGAAAGCGGTGCTCAAAACCCTTCAGCTTATGAAAAGGAGTTAAAATTCCTTTTCTCACCAATTCATCCCTTTCCTTAAATATAAGCAGTAGAAAATTAGTTCTTCTATTTCTATTTCCACCAACTTTTCCTTCAAATTTGCTTCATTCATAGTACTTTATAACGTCAAATACAATATTTACAATATAAAATCATTTTAGAATAAGAAAGAAGCAACATAATGGGACAAAAAACTGTAAATTTAACAATTAACTCACTGTTTCAACAAAGCCTGCAGAGGCTGCATCCAAAACAGCATCAAAATCACCATCGTCATCAGATGAGACTGTCTTAAGCCGCTTTCCTGAGCTTTTGTGCAATTTTTTATCTTCTTTAAGCTGCCTCTTGGGCCTTCGCTCTTCTTTAACTAAACTCAAGATCACTTCTTTTTCATGCTTGACGCTTTGGGAAGCTTTATCCTCCTTACACAAGTTTGAAAGCTCTTTCTCTAGTTGAGCCTTTGTGTTCTTCAGGCTCCTCAGTCTATCAGCAGTGACAACACGCTGAAGGTTCGAAACATCAGAGGAATCACCCTGAGCAATCCCTTGCTCGGGGCTGCCCTTACCAACATCACTACATTCTCCATCATTTTCAACATCTCTCGACTAGAATAGTAGAAGCGACAGCATCTATTACAAACTCTACTGCCCTCAACTTTTGATGAAGTTCGGCTTTGGCAATAGACGATGGATCAACAACATGTTCAGATAAATGAGAACACTCTTCCTTGGTGCTCCCTACGGTTAAATCTTAAGGTTTTGTTCAACTAAACACCACTGTGCTTATAAATTTCAACACCTAGTTCCAAATAGAGTTCCAAATCAATTTGAAAGGAAACAGAAACAGTAAACTTGAACAAAAAAATGAAAAACCGATGAAGGCAGGAGGTGATACCTTCTCCAAAACGTCGCGCTCAATGTCTTCGGGATTGGCAGATTTTACGCCCAAACTAGTGAGCAAAATTTGATCTGTTCTTCCTCCATTGAATTATCGTCACATTGATGTTATCATCATGTAGCGGAACCCCAAACCTAGCTGCCAAAACACATGACGTTGATCATTTTCACCATAACTCAACGGCATTTAATCTCAATTTGTTTTCCTAACTGATTTCAATTTAAATTAAAAAAGCTGCTGCTTCTTCTTCTGCTTCTTCGATTCCGTTTTCGCAGAGAGTAGTTGGTATCACCGTCGTCTTGGGTTTTGCCTCAGTTTCACCCCTCTAATTTTCTGTTTGGGTTATCCCACGTTTTAATGCTAGCGCACGATCACCCGAGAAGGTTAGAGGTGAACGTGAATGGGGGAAGAAAGGGGATGAAGAAGAAACGGGTAGAAGGGGAAGAGAGGGATTAACCTAATAAATCAATCCCTTATCAGGTCTAATCCCACCCTCTTAGACTTGATTAAGTTATACATCATTTGATGTATTAAAGGATTCTGTTGTATAAATTTATATTATACGATGGTCACACTAACAACTAAAAATGTCACAACGTACAGTATAAATTTATATTACCAGGTCTTATACATCATACCAAACATGCCCTAAGGCTACATAAACAGTACGTGATGAAATTAAGTAAAAGTAAACTATACACTTCATTACCAAAATAAAATAAAATTGCATGCTACATATTATTATACTATTACATACAGAACCAACGGCTAATAGATCATACTTTGTGCTTTAGGGTCAACCTTTAACTTTGAGTTGGTAGGTGGGTCACTATTTAACAAATGCTGGCGTAGATGATGATAGGGATTCCCTGCCATGAGGCGTGCAAAGGATTTCATGCTCAGAAGTTGAAGGCATGATTGGTCTAATGCTCCCTGGATTGAGAGGAAACAGGGTTTTGTAGTAACCATCCATAATTTCTGTGAAATTGCAAGTAGCTGCGACCTTGGGAATCTTTCCATCATGCCATGAACACCCACGCAGCTTAGTTAGTATTCAGCATGAAATTACAATTAACAACACAATTGATGGATAAATTGTAAACATTTTCGTCCATGTACCTGATAAATGTCACGCATGTAGGCATGTAGACTGACATACTCGTATAACTTCTTCTTGGTACATTTAAAAAGAACATTATAGGCAATATCAAACCGAATCAATGTAGTAAATAGGCATATATCTACAAGGGTGAGTGTGTCTCCACACAAGTAGCGAGAATTGGCCAAGTGATCCTCCAACTTGTCTAGTGTACAAAACAAGTCATTTACCGCTCTATCATATGCTTCTTGGCTCTGTGCAAACCCACACCTGAAATTGCAAAAAATTACACAATTTAACGAAACAAGTAACAACAATAATCAAGTCTCGATTTTTAAACCTTACCTATAAACCCCATTATTCACATTTGGATATATCACTTGATACCACTCCTCAATCTTTCCCTTCAATTCAGGGGGCGAGAGATCCAACCCCGGGTTTCGGGCTAACCCGTTTAACCCGGAATTGAACAATTCAATAATATCATAGCTCTCGTTGCAGATAACATCCTTTGAATCCTTATCCCACAACATTGGCACCGTGGACCTCCCATCATAACCACCTCTTCGAAGCCCATAAACCTCCTTCAACGTCTTGCACCCATTCGCCTCATCCATACTCGGGCTAATCCGACCCGAGCCCGAATTACCAACCGGTTTGAATTCCCATGACCCGTCCATGCCCGGCGACGCAACCGAGACCGGCACGGCCTCTTCCAGGCCCTTGAGCGCGCGTACTATGAGGGTCCGGTGGGCCCACGGGCATGGCAGGCCCACGTAGAGGTGGAGGCTACCCGTAGGACGGCCGGAGAATCGGAATTTAGAAGCGGGCCTAGAATACCCGCCGGAGGAGTCGGACGGAGCGAGCTGCGACATCATGAGCTGCCACGTGGAGTTCCAGGCGGTGCGCACGGCGGCGACGAGTATCCCCGGCGGCAGTGACCGTCCCCAGAGGAGGTTCGTCAGTGCACTTAGGCTCATCACGTAAGATGAATCACGGTTTGGGTTGTTGTTGTTGAGTGACATCCTCGGGCAGCGTCCGGTACGTCTTCGCTGATAGAAACCACCGTGTACGGCGGTCGTCGGAGGAACTAAAAGGTGATGATGAGAGAGAGTGTAACACGACATCGTTGAAGTGATCAGAGGAGCCACGTCACTTAAAAAATAAAAGGATATTTGTGTTTTCGTGATCTATGATGTGTCACTTCATTAAAGGCCCAATTAGAGCCCATTATAATCGGCCCTAGCCCATGTAAACCCTAGAACAGGAAAACCCTCGTTGTTTTGCATATATACACACACTGTGACACAAGGAGAGAGAGAGAAGGAGCAACGATGTCGAAGAGAGGTCGTGGTGGATCGGCGGGTAACAAGTTCCGGATGTCGCTGGGTCTTCCGGTGGCTGCGACGGTGAACTGCGCCGACAACACGGGGGCGAAGAATCTGTATATCATTTCGGTGAAGGGAATCAAAGGTCGCCTGAATCGTCTTCCTTCGGCTTGCGTCGGCGACATGGTGATGGCCACCGTGAAGAAGGGGAAGCCCGATCTGAGGAAGAAGGTGTTGCCAGCTGTCATCGTTCGCCAGCGCAAGCCTTTTCGCAGAAAGGACGGCGTCTATATGTACTTCGAAGGTACCACTTGATATAAGATTCGTTTCTGTACCATGTTTTAATTTTCGTGACATATAATACGATGTACCCGAAAGAAATAAAATATAATTTTTTTGTTTTTGAAAAAAAAAATGTTGCTTCTGAAAAGCTGGGTGCCTAGTTTATTGATTGGTCATTCACAGTGGGAAGCATATAGTTGTGGAATTGCCAGTTTTTAACAGCATGGTGTTTATTTCTTTGCATTGTGTTACCTGTCTGCTGGTAAATAAATGCCTTCTCCTCCACTTATGGTGGTTTTGTTTTTTTTGTTTGGTCGAGAAGTACTGAGGATGTTTCATGAAGCTTGAGGCATATCATGGGATACTCTTTGATTATAGTTCAATTCTTCATTGATTGATCCCTTAGGATGTGTTAATGCTCCGTTTTAAGTTTTTAAATTAAACAATATGATATAGTTGATCCCTGTATGCCTAATTGGTCGAAGCTAGTTTTAGTGACCTTTCTGCTTTGGACTTTGGTATGTCTAGGATTTTTCCTTCCAATTTCATGATGGCTTCAGACAGCTTCTCAGCTTAAGTTTTTTTTTTTTTTTTTTAATTTCCCCCCTTTTTTGTTGACAATTCTTTGCTGAATTTATCTTTGTTGTTTTTGTTTGATCTGTTTGCGTGCTCTTGTTTTCTTAATTTTGGTGTATTTGTTTTAGTCAACAATTATTGACTTGTGATGTTGGTTTCTGCAGATAATGCTGGTGTTATTGTGAATCCCAAGGGGGAAATGAAAGGTATTTTTTTATTATTCATCTTCGATTTTCATGGGTAAATGTAATATAGATTCAGGCTGTAGTGGCCCTTGTAGGTGATCTTTACGTGTTTTGTTGTCTTCCACACATGCAATTGGAATGTAATATTCAAATATCATACTCTTCTTCCAAGTATATAAATCGAAACTTTTTCTCCGAATATTTCTTTGCTATTCTTACTGTAGTTCTGTTGTTGTAACCCAACCCCTTTCATATTGAGTACGACACCCTTTCTTGTTTTAAAAAAAGAAGAAAAAATGAAAATAGATGATTACATCTATCGTGCTTGTTAGTTTCTTCATCTTTGCCATTTGACCTCACTTATGCATTTCTGGTTTTTGGTTCGGGTCTTAATTTGCTTGTCATTCATGTTAATGTAGGTTCTGCCATCACTGGTCCAATTGGCAAGGAGTGTGCTGATCTATGGCCAAGGATTGCTAGTGCTGCCAATGCTATCGTTTGAGTGGGAATTTTAGTTATATGAGTTCATGTTTCTTCTTTGTAGGACTTAAGTTTATCTCAGATTTTGTTTTAAGCTTTAAATTGCACTGGAATTGACAGTTTTACTTTTCCATAACTTGATCAGCAGATGCCTTTTTAAAGAGTTGAGATTAATTATTAGTTAAGAATTGTTCCTGTTTCTCATCCCGCTCTAATTTGTTAAGCAATCGTTTTTTAACAGTTTGTTCGAAGTCTTGTTTGCGCGAATTGACATCATTACGTTCAAGAAAGTATGAGTCAAATTATCATGTCTCTCTGTTTTCAACAAGAAAAAAGCTAAACGTAATTCGTTTACAACAGGGGTGGTACCTTTTTAAATTAGCCTTACATTATTTATTATCATACTTCTGCATGACTACTGCAACTGTGTTCTCTTCTGAGCCATGCCAAACATGTCAAGAGTTATGATTTCATTTTGGTTTCATACCCATTTTCCTTAAAAGTCATTTTAACCAAATGATCACGTTAGTGCATATTTGGATTTTCTTATTTTTGAGGTAAAAATTTTCTATTTAAAATATTTTTAGCAATGCTTTAATTGGAAGTTATTTCTAAAGGTTTTGTTTTTTGGTCACATGATAAGATTATTTTTTTCATACACAAATTAAGTGTGGATTTTACGTTTAAAAAAAAAAAAAGTCAGAATACGGCACCATATTTTTAGGATATGGAATCGGATCCTTGCATGAATGAAGTGTTATTTTTGGAACATGATTTTTATATTTTACTATTTCTAATGTAAAGTAATTCAAAACACTGGCTATCGTGGGAAAGGTGTACTGGGATGGGTATCATCTATGCTTAATACAAGTTCTTAAAGACTAAAAAGTATCTTTAAGATAGTTTTTGTAGTTTCTTTTGTGTAGTTTTCTTTTGGGGCAGTGCTCCCCTTATTTATTAAAAAAAAGGGTAAATATATTTTTTGGTCCTCAGCAAATTTCACGATGCCCGTTTTAGTCCCTAACAAGTAAAAAGGCCTATCGTGGTCCTTAACAAATTGAAAATGGACCCATTTTAGTCCTTTTAGGGACTAATATGGGTCTTTTTTGAATTTGTGAAGGATTTTGATTTCAACTAAATGGGTTTATTTTGAATTTGTTAGAGACCACGATGGGCCTTTTTATTTGCTAAGGACTAAAACAAGCATCGTAAAATTTGCTGAGTACCAGAAAAGATATTTATTCTAAAAAAAACTGATAGTAATTTTTGTATCAAAGTAATTTAGACAATAGGTTATATCTTGAATAAAAAGATATAAAAGCATTGTTCAGTAACGCAATAACAGCTTCTTAAAAAATTGAAATGTGAATGATATGTGATGCAATTTATCGATTTGATTATGCAAAATAAGTGTGTTTTTACTTTTTAGTCACATAATAATTGTCTATCCTTTCTGTGCATTATTGGATTTAACGTTGCAAATTAAATTTTCTCTATCCCGATTCTGCAGATGAGTTGCTTGCAGCTCTAGGTGCAACTGGCCCACAAGTTTCTTTTTCTTTTCAAGGCCTGATATTAGTCCCGGTTACTCATGTCTTTAGTCCTAGGGTTCAATTGGTGACCGTGTTTTATGACAACTTATTCAATTAGTGGCTTGATTTACAGTGCACTTTTTTTTTTTTGGTAATCGATTTACAATGCATTACTGAAAAGGAAAATCAAATATAAGTCATCCAGTATGTCTCCTTTTTCTTGTTTTTTATTTTTATTTTTATTATTATCTATTGATTATTTAATTAGTCTAATTTGAGCCGGTTTTCAGGAACAGCAAAATTCTTCTTACCAAGGTTTAACACAACTATATTTTCAAGGACTTAAACTCTAAGACCACTTGTTAAGTTGTTACACTTTCTACCCGTTGATCCACGTGCTTGAGTATTTTGTTTTTATTTTTAACAAAAAGCAAAGAGACAACATTTTGTTCATGTTTATCAAAAATGTCTTTCTTTATTCTGACCCAGAAGAGAGTATTCATCACATGTTTGATCAAAAATAGAAAAGAAAAGTGTCTGGCGAAATTCTAACTATTTTTAGATCAGGTTCACATTTTCTCTTTTTTTTTTTTTTTTCACTTAAATATATTTCTGCATATAAGTTGGCAAGAAGATGAATTTGAAGGAATGTTACGTTTTGATTATTTTCTGTAACTCCATTCAAAGGACCTATTGGTAAGATTTATTTGAATAAGTGCAATAGATTTATCTGCAATTTCATTTCACATCAACATTCTCGACTTTTACTTCAACAAGAGGCAATGGTGAAATTTTTTTGTTAAAGTTTGTAGCCCTGTCCATCAATGTCTTCTGATTGCATTGCTCAACCAATATTTCTAACAAACTCCATTTATTTTGTACCTATCAGCAAGTTATAACTGCCATAACTACTTCTGATTCTGAATATTCTATATCACTACTAGTATTAACTTCGACAACTGCATGAAAATTTTTACAAGGTGAAATTTGTTGGGTTTGCTCTTTTACTAAAGCCCAAATGGGTTATTAGTATGAGAAGAGCCCAAGGAACCTAGAGCCCAATGAGCTAAGGTTTCTTGGAACCCATATAAATAGTACCTCTTAAGTCATCAGCCTCCAAGGTCTTTTTTGTGAGAAAGAGGCAAGCTCTGAATCTAATCAGTGCCCACACACTTCCCCTTCCTCCTCGAGAGATAGTCTGGAAGATCTGCCACAGTCCAGCTTCAAGGAGGTTGTTCGTGCTGCGGCGCTGAGGTGAGCTGTTCGTGAAGAGTACACGAGACCTGCGCACCGAGAGGTAATTGTGAAACAAGGATGATTCGGTAAGCATACCAATGTACTAGGTCCTAAACCGCTTCCGCATAAATCTAAGATTTCCTTCAAATGGTATCAGAGCCTTGGCTGTACATTGGTATGTGAATCTAGTTTCACTATTCATGTAATTAGTTTTGCTTCTTGAAATGTGGCACCTAGGGTTCTAGGATTATGGTATGAATCTAGCATGTGTATTTTATAATTCATTTTCATAAAAGTTTAAATTTTAATCGGTAAAAATGCTTTAGTCCATGGTTAGGATCTCTCGTGTATTTCTCGATTTGTAACAAGGAGGCTAATCCCATATGATTAGGTTTCCTCCTTGCTGTTTTTGTTTATTTTTGGAATTTCTGTGTATTTTTCCAATATTTTGTAAAAGTTCAAGATCGAGAAACCGCGAGTAAGATGCGCAGTCAGTACTGTCGGAGATTTTTCGAGGTCTTCCCGATCTCGGAATGAGGCGATCTATATATGGTTGGAAAGAGGACGGAAAGACGAACGCAACGGTGGGTGTCTCACCGCCATCTGAGTTTACACGCTCCTCCACGCGCCTCCACAAGATTCTGAGAGTGGCCACCACTCTCCGGCAAAGAATGGGAGAGTGAGAGAGCGTCCGGCCACCTTTTTGGGTGGTTCCGGCGGCGGTGCACTCGTCTCTACGTGGAGGTCCTTCCCCTGGAGTTTCAGCCTGATTTGACTTCGGGTGACGGCGCGGCAGACCTGACGGCTAGGGTTCCTCTTTCGCGTCCTAGGGTTTCTCGCCAAAGGATTGGGTCTTTGGGCTTTTGGGCCCATGAAACCCTAAAGGGGCTTGAGACAGATACTATAGGATAGGCGAAAGATGAATTCCAAAGTTGTATTATTTAATTTTATTTTATTTTCTTTAAAATAGGAAGGCCATGGATTAAAGTAATTATGATTTATTATTTAATGCTTTTATTGATTGGTATAAATTATATGATAGATAACATGCTTTATTGCGATAACATGCCATATAGAATAGGTGGTGCCATATTGTTGCATAACTTGTATGATTGCATGAGCATAATAGCTATTATGTCTTCAGCGACTAGTATGATAGTTATTATAGGATTATTTTGATTTTAAATCATCCTAAGAAATTAATTAATAATTATTATGATTTTTATTAAAAATCTAGATTAATAATTGAATTAATTAATTTTGGATTATTAACATCAAGACAAATAATCGTTATGGAAATTATTTTGATTTCAAATTATCCTCATAAATGATAATTATTATGATTGTTGCAATCTAGATTAATAATTAAGTCAGCTATTTGGATGATTTAAATCTAGAAAAATAATTAGAGAAAATTTCTTGAGAGAATTCTTTTATTTTGCGAGTAATTTGTGGGTTTTTCTGAAATGGTCATGGAATAACACACGCTGCATACAACATTCATGTATCATGATTGTTTGGAGCACACGCTGACGTAAAGTGACCGGATTTCAGGACCTTAATACTTTCAAAATTATGTTAAGCTTAGTGCACGTTTATCGGCGCTCTTACTTATATAGTTTTTGAAATCAAACAAAGGATACTCTCAATTAAATAATTCTTGGAAATTAGAAAATGTTGCTTATGTTGAATGGAAGGAGATTTAAATTAAGAGATTAATTTAACCTTCAAGCGCATTATAGGACCATTAATAAAATAATCATGTGAAGTCCCATCGAATAAGCATGATTGGATTTTATTAGATTGGACTTAAATATCTATCAGAGGAGATTTAAATTAAGAAATTAATTTAACCTCCAGGCGCATTGTGGGCCTATCAATAAAATAATCATGTGAGGCCCCAACGGATAAGCATGATTGGATTTTATTGGGCCTTAATAATTTCAAAATTTTAATAAAGTATTGTACGGCCCATCGTCGATAATACTAAGTTATTAAAGATAATTTTGAAATTAAACAATGAATTCGACTGGGCTTATGTAAATTCTCAAACAAAAATGTTGAATGGGTGAAGGTTTTAAAAATTAATTAATTTTAAAACCTGCGGGCTCCATTTGTGGGTTTATTAGTGAAATGGTTATCGCTGAAGCCCCATCGGATAAGGATAATCAGATTTCACTAGATTAAATCTTAATAATTTCAAAATTTTAGTAAAGTATTGTACGGCCCATCGTCGGCAATGCTTAGACACTAAGGATAATTTTGAAATTAAACAATGGTTAATTACATTCAACTTTGGTAAAATTGTTAACCCTCCCATCGAGGCTCTGGCAATGGCACTGAAGGCCCAAATAACAATTTTGGTTTTTACAAGTGACTTGCCCATCGTAAGCCTTGTAAAGATAAACTGGAGGATTGTTAACAATA